ATGGGGATATGCTAGAAGCCTTCCCAGTAAGATCAGGTATGAAACAAGGATGCCTACTGTCACCAACAATTATTCAATATTATTTTGGAAATCCTAGCAATAAGAGAAGAAAATTAAATAGAAGGAATCAGAATGGGGAATGAGGTAATAAAAGTATCTCTTTTTTGCAGAAGATATGATGATACACTTGGAAAATCCTAAAGACTGAACTAAAAAGTTAGTTGAAACAATTAATAATTTTTAACAAAGTAAAAAGATGTAAATTAGTAAACCCACATAAATCATCAGTATTCCTACATATCACCAACAAAACCATGAAAAAAGAGATAGTAAGAGATAATCCATTTAAAATAACTATAGACAATATAAAATACCTTCTCTCTTTTGTTTGTTTCTTCTTTCTCATGTTTTTTTTTGTTCTAATTCTTCTTTATAACATGACTAATGTGGAAATATGTTTATTACATGTATAGCTCATATCAGATTGCATGCCATCTCAGGGAGGGAAGAGCAGAGGAAGGGGGAGAAAAGTTAGAACTCAAAATCTTATAGAAGTGAATGTTGAAAACTAAAAACAAATAAAGAAATAAAATTTTTTTAAAAAGAAAAAAAGAGCACCTTTGAGTGGCCAGGTCATTTTGACTATTATACTTTAGATATGTGTGTGTGTGTGTGTGTGTGTGTGTGTGTGTATTTAAATATATATTATAATAACCAAATTAACAACAAAGGACCTATGAAAGAAGATGCTATCTCATTCAGAGAAAGAATTGATAAATAGAAGTATATATAGTGTAGATATACATACACATGTGTGTGTATATATATATATATATACACATTTATACATACATACATATATGCATATATATATACATACACATTTATACATACATACATATATGCATATATATACATATTTATGTCTAATGATATAGCCTTCTCTAGAACAGGGTTTGTGGGAAGGAGGGGGGAAAAAAGAAAGTTGCATGATAATTTTATTACATACTTAAAAAGAAAAGCAAGTTGTACATAATAGATTTGTAGTTTCATGTGCAATCCTGTTTTTTTCCCTATTTTACTTTGTTATGGAAATGCTTACTTTATTTCTTAAATTCAGAAGAAAAACAAAAATAAAAAAATAAAAACATTTTAAAAGAATTCTAGAGCCACCTTTCTCAACAGCAGATTCGCCATTCCTTACTTTTTGCCAAGTTAGAGCAACTACATGCCAGTCATCTCTTTACTCTCTCAGGTCACAGATAAGATGCATCCAATCAGCACCTCTTGTTGAGCTTTTTTGATGCTGAGCATAACTGCATACACTCTGTTTCATTTGTCCTTTCAGTTTCCATCATGTCTATTTGTGGCTGACTTGTCTAAACAAACTGTTTATAAGCTTTGAGAAACTTCCAAAAGGCACTGGAAACATTGTAAGACAGGGTAAGAAGGTGATAGCCTCTGGTCATATTCCTGACATAACAGAAAAGTCTTGGTTCCCTTTATATCATCATATATATTCCCAACTTTAAAATAAATCTTACTCAGATAAAATGATATGTAAAACTACTTTTTAAGCCTTAAAGTTCTGTATAAAGTCTTATAATTTATTATTAGCATTATTATCATTTTTATCACCTATGAATGACCACCTAAGAACAACCAGAAGCCCCACCAACTACCTTTCCTTTCTTGCAACTACCACTTGGATTTTTTCTTTTTTTTCCTATGCAGCTTGCTGCTTACCTTTCTCAGTTCCTCACTTTTTTTCACCTTGCATCTAAGCAAATACAAATCTTTTGCTTTGTCTGAGATCGTGATTGTTGCTCCTGTCTTTTTTACTTTGGCTGAAGCACAATATATTCTGCTCTAGCCATTTACCTTTACTCTTCATGTGTGTGTCTACTTCAGTTGTTTCTTGTAAACATATTGTAGGATTCTGAGTTGGTTCATCCCATTCACATTCATAGTTATAATTACTAACTCTGTATTTCCCTCCATCCTATTTTTTCTCTATTTATACTTTCCTCTCTCTCTCTCTCTCCTTTCACCCTGTCCCTCCTCACCAGTGTTCTGCTTCTTACCATCCCTTCCCTCAATCTTTCCTCCCTTCTATCAGTCCCCCACCTTTTCTTTTCCCCTTCCCTCCTAATTCCCTATAATGTAAGATAAGTATCTATACCCAACTGAATGTGTATGTTATTCCCTCTTTGAGTCAAATCTGATGAGAATAGATTCAAACAATGCTCACCCTCTCCATTCTTTCCTTCTACTGTAATATGTCTTTTGTGCCTCTTCATGTGATATAATTTACCCCCGTTCTGCCTTCCCCTCCCTTATTCTCCCAGAACATTCCTTTATTTCACCCCTTAATTTTTTTATATCATCACATCAAAGTCAACTTATGCTACACCATCTATCTTTGTAAATACTCTTTCTAACTACCCTAACAGAGATACAATTCTTAAGAGTTACAAATATCATTTTCCCTTGTAGAGATGTGAACAGTTTAACCTTGTTTAATAACATGGGGGTTTTTTTTCTTTCCTGTTTACCTTTTAATGTTTCTCTTGAATCTTATATTTGAAAATTGAATTTTATGTTCAGCTCTGGTCTTTTCATCAGAAAATCTTTGAAGTCCGCCATTTCATTGAATATCCATCCCCCTCAAATTTCAACTTTGAAATTTGAAAATTCAATTTTGCTGGGTAGTTGATTCTTGGTAATAATCCAAGCTCCTTTGCCTTCTAGAATATCATAGCCTAAGCCCTGAAGTCCTTTAATAGATAGGCTGCTAAGCCCTCTGTGATCCTGACAGTGGTTCTTTGATATTTGAATTGTTTCTTTCTGACTGCTTACAGTATTTTCTCCTTGACCTGAGAGTTCTGCAATTTAGCTATAGTATTCCTTAAAGTTTTCATTTTAGGATCTCTTTAGGAGGTGATCGGTGGATCCTTTCAATTACTATTTTACCCCCGGGTTCTAGGATATCAGGGCAGTTTTCCTTGATAATTTCTTGAAAAATATTGTACGGGCTCTTTTTTCTATCATGGCTTTAGGGTAGTCCATTAATTCTTGAATTACCTGTCCTGGATCTATTTTCCAAGTCAGTTGTTTTTCCAGTGAGATATTTTACATTTTCTTCTATTTTTTCATTCTTTTGATTTTGTTTGAGTCATTAACTTCCACTTGTTCAATTCTAATTTTTAAGAAATTATTTTCTTCAGTTAGCTTTTATACCTCTTTTTCCACTTGGCCAATTCTATTTTTTAAGGAGTTGTTTTCTTCAGTGGATTTTTTTACCTCCCTTTTCATTTGGCCAATTCTACTTTTTAGAGAGTTGTTTTCTTTTTCCAAGCTATTGACTTTTTCATAATTCTCTTGCATCGCTCTCATTTCTTTTCCCAATTTTTCTTCCACCTCTTTTATTTGATTTTTTAAATCCTTTTTGAGTTTTTCCAAGAGGGCTTTTGGGGCTTGATGCCTATTCATACTCCTCTTTGAGGCTGTATATGCAGGCATTTTGACATTGTTGTCTTCTTCTGAGTTTGTGTTTTGATCTTCCCTGTTGCCATAGTAGCTTTCTATGGTGAGAGCTCTTTTTGTTTTTTGCTCATTTTCCAGTCTGTTTTGTGACTTTTAAAGCTGAGCTCTGCTTTTGTGGCACAGGGAGCACTGTCCTAAGCTTCTTGCTCTGGAGACCGGGGGCCTGGTCACTGGCATTCTGGGCCAGGGCCTCTGGGCTTGACAGTTTGCCTTCTGTACTGGGGCTGAAGGCCTCACAGCTGGCCTGTTGTGCCATGGGCCTGCTGAGCCTGGACTGTGGGGCCCTGTTTGACTTTCATTTGAAAAACTTCTTGCCTCATAGGCCTCTTGTATCCTTTTGCATCGTGGCCGCCAATATTCTCACCATCCTGGTGGCTCTTGTCTCTAGACACTTTCATTCATCAATATCCTTCCTACACTACATTAAGATAAAACTTCTACATTGGGGATGTTTAGTCTAGAAAGCTCAAAGATCGCTGTAAATGGCAATTGACCAAACCTGAAAAGGGTTGTGTTCAGGACTGTTCTGTTTTATAATAAGCCAAAGGCAGGGAAAAAACCCTGGTTTAAAACCACAGATCGTGTGAAGGGAAGCAGATAGGTCATTCTCTTAGGCCCAAAGGGAGTTCCCAGAGATCTCACCAAGGATTTATATTAGTTGGGAAGCCTTGGCTGCAAAGAAATCTTTATCCCTCAAGCTCTTACAACCCAGTCTTCATCTATCTTTCCCATTCAACTACCCCAGGTCCTCAGTAGAGATCTTTCCTTTGGTCATGGAAGTCACTACCAGTGGCCACACAATTGTGCCTTGGACCTAGAGAAGTGCTCGCTCCAACTAAACAAGAAGTGGGAGAAGTGGGCATGGAGTTGGACCCAAAGGAGCTGTGTTCCTGGCCCCCTGAATTGGAACTTTGAATGTATTTTTCCATAGAAACATTGTTATAACTGGGGATTAGATTTTAAAGTGGTATTAGTACAATGAGAACAATTAGTTCAATTTTATTAGGAATTGAACAGACTTCTGTGTCATCAGCTTGGGAACCTTTCTTTTTGTCAATCAAAAAACATTTTATCAACCTATTGTGTGTAGAGCTCTGTAGTAACCTCTGGGGAAAACACAAAGTTTAACTAAGACATGGTTCCTGAACTCATGGTGCTTACAACCTAGTAAAAGGATAAGACACAGATGTATATAACTTTGATACATATTTCGTTTTGGGATCTCTTTCAGGAGGTGATTGGTGGATCCTTTCAATAAGACTTGATGAAATTAGCATAATATCACCTGCAAACAATATTTGGAGAACTTCCAAGGCTTCTCACTCTAGATCTTATATTACCATTAGCACTGTGACTATTACAAAAGTTCTTCAGCACATGTAGCTATTGCTTAGGTTTCATTTCTATAGTGTGTCATGTTACTTTTTTTAAAAAAGGGAAGAAAAATAAGGGTTCTGCCTCTCATTGGCTCTTTCATTGCCTCCTGTCAGAGGACTGGGACCTGAAAAGAACATGACCAAATACCACCTCTGGTTCTTGCTCTTCTGCCTGCTCACAGGTAAGCTTTAGCTGTTATCAATCCCCTCTCTGGCTTCTACATGTGATAAGCTGCCATACAGGGGCAGACGTTGAGCCCCATACAATCTCTAGTGGTTTAGAGCTGGGCTGGCAGCTTCCTTTTAGAATGTGCTTTTTAACTGAAATACTTACCACTATGGTTTTCCTTCCTCCTGAAATATTAAGGGACTGAGCTGGCCACCAATGTGAGGCATGAGGAAAAAATGCACAGTCTTGTGCCTTTTCCTACTTTGAAAGGGTCTTTTTTTTAATTATTCACTTGCATTCAAAACTATCTTCATCTCTCGGCAGCTGGTGGTGCAGCTGGAAAAGCTGGGCTTGGCAGAAAGACCTGAGTTCAACCTCAGACACTGGCTAGCTGTCTGACCCTGGCCATGTCATTTATCTGCTTCAGTTCCCTTAGCTTTTAAATGGAGATAATAATAGCACCTACATATGGTTGTTGTAAGGATCAAATAAGATAATGTTTATAAAAAGCCCTTAACACAGTTCCTGGCACTATATAAATGCATATTCCCTTCTCTCTTTCGGCCTCAAGTTACTCATTCGTAAAATGAGTCAATGAGGTTCTAGTATCCCTTTCAGCTTTAACATTCTGTGGTTTTAGAATTCTAGGAGATATCCCTTGGCTAGGGCTCTGATCCTTAACAACAATCCTGAAAAGTATGCAGAACATGTGTTATTATCCCCATTTCATAGATTGATTAACTAACAAGCATTTGTTAAGATACTTTTGTGGAAAGCACTATGCAAACACTGACACATTTATGTCCTACAACCTCTCAGTGTTTTCAAGAAAATAGCCAGAATTATCAGCCACATAGATGTGTTAAGGACTGTATTTCTTTTGTTCCAGCGGTGAATGGGGCCATCACAGATCTTGGAGGAAGTTATGTTTACAAACCTGGAATCTCTTTCTCCTCCTCTCACTTTTGCTACCATCCCCTTGTTGTTTACTTCTCTTTCTTTGGATCTCTGCTCAGCACCCAATATACTGGGTTTTCATTCTGGCAAAATGTAGACTGAGTTGGTCCTTTAAGGATGTGAGGAGGCCATTTGTCTTTTTTGCCAATTGAAGTCCAACAGGCCAAGCCTGGGAGGGAATTAAGTCAGGGATTATACCTAGGCTCCTACTGCCTATGGAGAATACTCAGTCTGTCAATTAGTTAATAAGCATTTATTAATGCTTACTGAGTTCCTGACCTAGTGAGTGGTTTGTTTTGGTGATTATAGAGACAGAAGGGAGTACATTTTTATATCCTTTTAACTTTAGAAGTTATATTATTTTAATTTATTAAGGTCTTTGCATTTTTCACTCCTGAAACTGAATCATTATACAGCCCTAGCTTTGGCATGGCCCAGAGTAACAGTGGTCTGTTTGCCTGACCACTGTTGAGCCCAATTGTTCAAGATCTCCTGATGCACAAAAGCTGTGTATATATTGCAGTAAAGGGATAATCGGGTTCTAACTCAATTAAATTCCTTTCAATAAATATAAATTAAGTAGCTACTGTGTATAAGGTTCTGTGCTAAGTGCTGAAGATATAGTCAGTCAACAAACATTTATTATGTGTAGGCACTTAATAGTAGGTTGTGCACCAGGAGCTGAACAAAAGACAAAAATAAAATCATTCCTAATCTCAAAGAATTTGCATTCTATTGGAACTTGAAAAGGAGTGTTCCAACCACTCTTAGCGGAGTTGTGAACTGGTACAGCCTTTCTGGAGAACGATTTGGAACTATGCTCAAGGGGCGATAAAACTGTGCATATCCCTTGACCCAGCAATACCACTACTAGGTCTGTATCCCAAAGAAATCAAAGAAAAAAGAAAAGGACCTATATGTACAAAAATATTTGTAGCAGCTCCCTTTGTGGTGGTAATGACTGAACAAGTTGTGTTATATGTGATTATGATGGAATATTATTGTCCTGTAAGAAATGACAAGATGGTTTCAGAAAAACCTGGAAAGACGTCTAGGAATTGATACAGAGTGAAGTGAGTAGAACCAGGAAATCATTGCACATAGTTACAGCAATATTGTAACAATGATGAACTGTGAAAAGACTTGGCTACTCTAATCAATGCAATGATCCAAGACAATTCTAAAGGACTAACAATGAAATATACTATCCGCCTCCAGAGAGAGAACTCATGAACTCTGAATGCAAATTGAAGTATATTTTTTCACTTTATTTTTTTTCTTGCCTTATTTATTTTGCAACACAGCTAATATGGAAATATTCTGCATGATTGCATAATTGATATCATATTGTTTGCCTTCTCAATGGGTGTGGAAGGGAAAAGAGAAAAAAGGAGAGAATTCAGAACTCACAAAAAAAAATGTTAATGAATGTTATAAATAAATAAATAAATAATACATTTTAAATAAAAGAAAAGGAGTGTTCCTGAAAAGCAGGTAGATAATAGGCTGAAGTACCTCAGGCCCTTAAGATTTCAGTCTAGGATAGCAGGCACAGAACAGGAGAGGAGCATGTATGACTACATGCATTTCAAGAGCTGGTTTTCCCACTCAGATCAATGTAGTGAGCGGACAGTGTCCAAATCCCTTGTTGCTGTTCCCTGTACCCTTCTGCACAGTCCTGGGAAATATAATGCAACCTGGATTGGGGAGCTGAGCAAAGGAAGGGAAATCTTGAAACACTTGGCTCTTGATTAAGCTGCAGTACTCCTGGCAAAGAAGGCTACAGTGAGATAATAGCAATATCTTCAGAAAAGAAGCAGAGGGAAAAATGAAAGGTTCACTTAATTTAGAGTCAGAGGATTTCAATCCAGGCTGTGCTATTGACTAGAAGCTCCATGACCTTGGACAGTTCATATCCCATGTTTTGATCACACTTTTCTCATCTGTAAAAAAGAGAAGAGAGAGAGAGAGAGAGAGAGAGAGGAGAGAGAGAGAGAGAGAGCTGTAAAAGGTGATTTTTTTAGGTCCCTTACTGTTCTCATCCTCTAGATCCTATGTTAGCTAGACACTAGCTATAATGACTTGCAGTCTCACAGAGCCATAATTTCACTCTCAATGTTCTGGGTACTGAAGGATGCTTAAGGGAGCCAGAATGTGGCCCTGTGTGAACAACAAATAGCCTTGACTCATGGTATTTCTTAGTACTGAAATTCTGTACTAAGTGGCTCCCCAAAATAATCACAGCTCACATGCATCAGGTTCCTTATAGTTTATAAACAACCAGGGGAAAAGTAGGCAATGCAAGAATTATTATCCCTATTTTGCAAATGAGGAAACTGAGGTGAAATTACTTGACCAAAGCCACTCAGCCAGTAAGTGGAAGAACAGGAATCCAAGCTTTCTGACTACAATACCATGCTCTTTCTTTTACACTAAATTGACATTTGGAATACATGAAAATATTATTGTTATTTAATCTTCATTTTCAAAGAGGACCGATGACAACATGGGTTGGTGTCTTCACTTGTCTGTGAATTGGATTGAAGTGAGGCAGAGTTTGCTCAAAGTCATCAGCCTCCCTCTCTCTTGGAGTCATAGAAGTCTAGTGGCAAAAAAAAACCAAACCTCAGGATGATTGGATAAGGCACAGGTTGGTAGATGACCTTGGCATCTTCAATATCTGACCAAGCTCTAAGCACTCCACTACATTGACTTCAGTCACCTTCATGATCATTGTGATAAATTGTTCTCATCCACCCATTACACCAGGGGAAGTCTTCACATGCTTGGGGTAAACATGACCCTAACTCACTGACTTTTGAGGTCTCTCAGTTACCCTCAATCTGGTTTAGCTCAGACTGGCTATATAGGGAGTTCAGGGAAGACTAGCATGTCTGGTGTGAGGGCTTGCTGAGTCCTTTTCAGGGCTGCTCATCTACCTTTGGTGTCCACCTTTCACCCAGTTCTCATCTGTGGCTCCAAGAAGCTACATGTTGCATGCACAGTGGCCACATCTTGGTTTTATATACATATATATATATATGTATGTATGTATATATGTATGTATGTGTATATATATGTATATGTATACCTGTATATGTATATGTATGCATATGTATATATGTATGTGTATACATATATATGTATATGTAACTCGGAGAGGGAGAAAATTTTCAGGCTGTGTACTTCTTGTATGTCAGGTCATATTTCATATACAAGACCTCAGAGAGGGGCAGCTAGGAGGCACAGTGGATAGAGCACTGGCTCTGAAGTCAGGAATACCTGAGTTCAAATCCAGCCTCAGACCAAACACTTGACACTTACTAGCTGTGTGACCCTAGGCAAGTCACTTAACCCCAATTGCCAAAAAAACAAAAGACCTCAGAGGTCAGCTAATCTAGTTCTTATTTTACAAACAAGGAAACTTCAGAGTTTCTTGACTTTAACCTCTGAGAAAGATATTAATATATAAACTACAGTTGTCTTCTGTTGATCTATTAGCTCATTAGTTGAGAAAATCAAGTATCCTATGAAATATTTCTTGTTGCCTCTGAACATACTATGAAGCCTATTCTGCAAGCTCCTTCATTCACCTCTCTAATGAGAAAGAACCAATGAGTTAGCCTTGCATTTAGTCAACACTTCTCTTTGTCAAACACTTTAGACTTAAATTATTTAAGAAACTACTTACAGGAAAAGGGAAAAAACTCAAAAAACATGAATGAGCCCCAACCTGTAACAGGATGGAAAGAAACTACACATATACCCCATCCGTATTATGAGTTCTGAGGCCTGACCACACTCACTTTAGATCAGTTACCTCCAGCTACCCATTTTACTCACTATTACTATATATTTAATTTTATTCTTCTAAGCTTTGCAGTGATTTAGGGGGCTATTTAGACAATTAATTTCTCATTCATGAACTTACTTCTTTCTTACTGTGTAAGTAATTAGAAAGAGATCCCACATCAATTCATTAAATTTTAATTATTTAATGAAACACATAGCTTATTTACTCTTATTTAGCTCTGTCTATAAATAATTATTAAAATCACTATATAGATAATTTAATACACTGAATTAGTAACAAAGATAAAGACATAATAATTCACAATATTTTGGTTACGACCAACATCACAGCCCAAGTCACCTCAAAGCTTCAGTAGCTGACTCCACTTGTTTGAAAATTCAGTCTCAAATCATTCAACTCACTTCAGAAAACAATGAAAGTCTATTAAAAATACTATTCCTATTTCTCCCCAGAATTAAACCTCTCTCTTTGTCTTCATTTCAGTAATTGTAGGAAACATTTTTTGAGATTCTCTAAAGTTCTTCATAAGATTGTCTTTATAACAATACATTTCAAATAATTCCAGCAAGGAAAAATTTTTCCTCACCACCTTCTTGTGTCTTCTCCACAGATTTTCACAAACTCTTATGGATCACAGACAAAGTATTCCCCTCTCCCTCACTTCATAGAGAGAGGCATTGCACATTCATCCATGTTCTCAGCGGACTCATTCTGTCTTCATAGACTCCACAGACTCTTCACAGATCCTTAAGAATCACAGATAAAACATATCATTTTTCTGACTCCAAAGGAAAAGGCATTGAACATTAGCCTATTTTCTCAAATTACTTTTCATAAATTCCCATGGCTAACAGATAAAATATGCCCATTGCCCTGATTCCATAGCCAATTTCTGAAATGAACTTCAATTTTCCAGTCTTAATACTTTTCACCATTCTATATGAATCTTACCATCCACCTGTTGCTCTTAAAGCTATAATAACAGTATTTGGAGTCTGTGAGAGATGCTTTTGAAAGAGGTTTTCACTGAGCACATCACTTGGGATGCAATTCAGTTGCTCTTGTGGGATATCTACTTGTCACTGACCAACATTTAAACATTAAGAGTGGCAATTTGTTCAATAATATTTACCTGACTGGATGAGGAAATATAACTAGCTGGATCCTAGAACTGTTTTCTAGGATTTGGTCCTAGTTGAATGACTGACCCCAAGAAGTAGTGATTAAATGAATTGATGTCAACATGAAGGAAAGTTTCTAGTGCAGTGTCCCAATTGTCTACCTCAGGCCCTGTGCTAACCAATATTTTTTCAGTGACTTGCCTGAACCCATAAGTAGCACACTTATCAAACTTGTGGATTGTACAAATATGACAGGGACAATGGACGGCAGAATCCATATTCAAAACGTCAGAGTAGACTAGGATGATGGGCCAACTGAAAGAAGGTGAAATTTAGTAGGAATAAATGCAGTACCTTATATTTGGGTTCACAAAATCAACTGTGCGAATTACACTTCAGTGTAAATGAAATTTCAGGAAAGTATGGTTTAAAATAGCAGAGAGGGGAAAGAACATGACAAAGTGTGAGAATGTAAGACCTCTGGGTTTAGGTTGAAAGAAAAGACTCCTCCAAAGGAGAAAAGACATAGAAAAGAGGAGAGTGGAGGTGCAAAGAGAAAAATATTGCCCCTATAATCAACTCCAGTGGCATAATCATCCTTCCTCTTTCTACAAATGAGTCTTGACTGGAAATAATCAGTTTCTAAAAGCATTTCTTTTATAAAACTTTGTTCCCCCTTCCCCAAAAATACTTCATACAAGGACTTTGGCAAAATTCTATTTGAACACAGATGACAAAATTGAAGTAGAGAGATCTCCTCCTATGTCTCAGAATCCAGATGGCTCACAATCTGTGAAACAGGGATATAGCTGAAATTCACTTTATACAATAGAGGGGCATGTAAATCTAATTGTATAATTGTATTTTGGGTTCTGTGATTTCATTAGTGTAGGCAAAGAAGAAATGCCCTTTCCAAATGCAGATCTACTGTTCTACACAGTATAGTCTTAGAGAGTTGCTTGGGGGCACTGAGAAGTTAAGTGACAGGTTCAGTGACACAGACAGTACATGTCAGAGTTGAACCCAACTTACCCTAATTCCGAGGCCATCTCTGCATCCACTGCACAACTTTGTTTATCTTGGGAGAACAAAACTAGAGGGTCCATTATTTAAAGAATATTATTATGAATTCTTCTGTAAGGTGAATAATAAACCCTAATGTGTTAATGAGGTATCATGAATAGAGGGTTGGACTTGGAATCAGATAGACCCCAGTTCAACTCCTTCCTCCAAGGGGCAGTTAGGCGGCACAGTGGATAGAGCACTGGTCCTGGAGGCAGGAGAACCTGAGTTCAAATCCAGCCTTACACACTTATTAGTTGTGTAACCCTGGGCAAATCACTTTACCCAGATTGCCTCTTCCCACTAAAACAAAAAAAATCCTGCTGTGACTTTCATTAACTGTGTGTCCACAGGCAAGTTGCCTTAACACTCTAGGTTTCAGGAAACTCTCTAAGAATCTCACCTATTATAAGCTAAAGATGGCTTATGTATGAGTTAGTGGAGGGATTTCTCAAACCAAAGAATACAGATTCTTGATATATTAAAACAGATTTCCATGTAGAACATACTCATTACCCATCAAAATAATGTAAATCTCCTACTCTGAAGTAATGCTTGGGGGAAGAGGACAGAAGAAGTTTCCATAAAAATTTGTCCTCAAGGAATTGAATAAGGTAGGCCTAAAGAGAATCTTGGAATCCTTGAAGGAGCCGTACAGCAATTATAATACAAACCATACTCAATAGGAAACTTGTAACTTCTCTAGCAACTTGTCATTCAACATTCACTTGAAGATCTCCAACGATGGGGAACTCATTTGAGGGGATGAATGCTCAGGTCATTGACAGATATTCCTGTTGTGCAAGTACAAAAGTAAGAGCAGAAAATTTGATCTGCTTGAATCAGCACTTTATCCTTGCAGAATACACTTTCTATGTTATGCATAAGTGAACTTATTTTTTATTATTAAATGTCCTTCCAGTCTCATTCCATTTGAATCCTGAACCTGAATCACCTAATTTAGGTCTCACCTATATAAGGCATTCTATTACATTTCTGGAATGGAATCTCAAATCATAAAACTATGAAGCTTAGGGAATGTCGGGGGCCTAAGGGTTGAACTTGGCTCTTATTTCCATCTGCCGCCAGTTCCACCAGGAACTTCTAGAGAGAACCCAGCCCCACTGATGGTGATAGGGACTCTGAGACAGTCAGTCATTCTATCCTTGGAGATCCTAGCTGGAATGACTATTGAGAAAACTGCCTAGACTTCCATATACCTGTTGCTGTTGTGCGTGTCAAATATAAAAGTTGGAAATGGAATCAGGAAGACCTGGATTCAAGACTCACCTCTGATCCTTGCTACCTGTAGGACACTGGACAAGCTACTTAACCTCTGAGATTTCTCTATTCTCTCATAGATGGCCTGTATCTGAATTGGTGGAAGGAATTCCCACATCAACAAATGTGCAGATCCTTGATTACACAATATATTTATGTGGTGCACTGATATAATGGAAATTTTCATGGAGAAAATCAACAGTATCCTCTTGCACCCAGAAATTTCTAGAGGAAGGGGGACTAGAGGAGGCTAAGAAGAATGATAAGATGTCAGAGTTCATATAAGAAAATCTACATCCAAACAAATTCCCAGTACACGTTCCCTACAGAATAGTTATCACATCTCTATTTTAAGGACTGGAATTATTGAGGACTTATTAACTTTCCATGCTCCCCATTTACTCTTTTTGAGGCAATTAGGGTTTAGTGACTTGCCCAGGATCACACATCTAGTAAGTATCAAGTGTCTGGTCTGAGGTTGGGTTAGAAATCAGGTCCTCCTGACTTCAGAGCCAGTGTTCTATCCTCTGTGGCACCTAGCTGCACCCTCCCTCACCTACTTTTATAATGGCATCTATAGGACTTATCTCAAATCATGGGTTTAAGGAAATGCTATGGGATAGGGATCAAGTTTAATAGCTATTACAGTTTCTCTTTTGCTTCTACAGAGCCAAGAGCTTCCAGAGAGAATTATGCCCCAGTAATGGTGACAGGGATTCTGGAAGAGTCAGCTATTCTACCTGCAGAAATACCAAGTGGACATAAACTTGAGAACATTAACTGGGCCTCTCGTACACCTGTTGCTCTTGTGCAACCAGAAGGACAATCTTTCAAGGTCATTACAACCCATCAAAATTATAGGGGACGACTGAATGTCCCACCCAACACGTATAACTTGAAGATTAGCCCCCTGAAGATGGAGGATGCTGGATTCTACAGAGCTGACATAAATCTTCAGAATTCTGCAACTTCTACCATCACCATCACCAAGAACTATACCCTGCATGTCTACAGTAAGACTATAGTAGTGGACTCTTAGAATATTTGGGCTGAGAGACCAAAGAGGTCCTCTAGTCCAAACCTTCTTTTTTCATCCAAGGAAACTGAGGCCCAGAGAAGTGAGGTGATTTGCCTAAGGTCACATGCATAGTACCAAAACTAGAAAAGAAATGGGATTTCCTGATTTGGTTCTGTCTTGTCCCACTGGGTTGTTTTCCAAGTTATTCTTCAAAGGAATGCTAAAGTTTTCAATCAAGTATTCCCTGGACCATTCAGTAGCTATTAGTAAAAGACCTCAGCACTATACTAGAAAGTCTGAGGGGAAAAGTAGGCTAGAAAGGACATGGGTCTTGTCTTCCAACGTGGTCCATATTTTGCCTTTGCATCTCTCACTATGGGCTCTTTCCCATTTGCCTACAAAAAAATGTTCAGATCTCTCTAATCTTAAAAAAAAAACCTTTTCTTAACCCTTATCGTTTATCCAGCTACCATCCCTTCAGTCTCCTACCATCCACTGCTAAACTCCTGAAAATGCCATCTATATCCAATGGCTCTTCTTCCATACTACTTACCTTCTCAACCCTTTATGAAATAGTCCAAGCTCCAATGACTCTATGGAAACTGTCTTCTCTAAAGTTTTCAAGGATCTTATAAATACCAAATTCCATGGGGGTTTTTTCAGTCTTCTTCCTCCATGAAATCTCTGCAACATATCCTGCTGTTGATCATTTCTATGATCCTAAAATTTCCTCTTACTAGGTACCTTCTCTTCCCTTCATTTAAAAAAAAAAACTTTTTTAGTTTTCTTAGTTTTCCTCTTACTTCTCTAAATGCTCCTTTTCTGTCCCCTTCAGTAACTCTTCTTGTTATTCTTCACCTTTTAATATGAGTATTCTTCACAGTTCTAATCTTGGTCCTCTTCTGCTCTTATACTTTTCCCACTTGGCAATCTCATTCATTACCACTTTGATGAAAATGACTCCAAAGTCTTCATCTGCTTGCCTTGCATATAAGCTGCTTCAGCAAGAATGATTCTCAAAATCGACTTATAGAGAGCTCAAAATTGGACAAATTAGTGAAGTTTATAAAGAAGATGGTTTCATTATAGACTCATTGTTATGCCTTGTATTGTTCCATCCTATAGGACGACTGGCACCACCAAAAATTACTTGGAATACTGTAGCCTCTGAGAACAATATCTGTAATATCACTCTGATGTGCTTCATGGAGGAGGGAAGAGAAGCTGTGAAGTACCAGTGGACTCCTCTGGGAGAACAAGCTGTTGAATCCAATGGGAAATCTAGGCTTTTCATCTTCCAAAGACCTGAGGATGCTCCCATAAATTACACCTGCACAGCCATGAACCCTGTCAGCAACAATTCTCAATCCAAACTTGTTCAATATCTTTGTGCAGGTAATCATCTGTCCCATCTTCCCAAAAGCCTCAGGAAATACCCTGAACAGCTGTAGGAAATGGGCCCCAGAAGGTCTGGTCTTTACATGGGCAGTTTCAAGATAGAACCCAATGAGGATAGAAATCAAATCCAGGCAAGGTCACAAGCACTTTTTAGTTCAATTTTATTCAACAAATTTGTTAAGGGATACTAATGACTGTGCTGTGTTACATGCTGAAAAAAAGAAGGCCCAGTCCCTGATCTTCATGAAACATACATTCTAGTAGGGGTTATACTAATACATATAACTATGATAATATTATATTACAAGTACATTAAAGAGGTATAAAGAAAAGTGCTCCCTAAAATCTGAATGGGAAGGTTATTTTTTTATAGTTGGGTTGGGGAAGACTTCATGGAGGAGACAGAATTTGAACTAGACTTTAAAGAATGCAAATTAGAGATGAATTTATTACAGAACTGATTTTATTACAGTGCTTTAAGGCTTGCAATATATTTGCGTATGTTGTCACATTTGATCTCCACAATACTAGCAGTTGAAGACTTGGGAAATTAAGGCTAATAGACTTGCTCAAATCACGTAATGAGTAATTAATGAAAAAGAGCATATTTTAAGTGTTTACAATACACAAGGCACTGCGCTAAGCACATACATAGAAAAAGAAAAGTTGTTCCTGGCTTCAAGAAGTTTACTTTCTTTGTGGGAGATAAAACACATGTAAATAAGAAAATATAGAATATAAAAAGGTAAGTATAAGGTAATGGTAGGGAGGAAGCTCTAACAACTGTGAGGATCAGGGATTATGAAAGGACTCTCATAGGCAATAGAACCCAATATGAGCCTTCAAGGAAACTAGGAAATCCAAGATGGGGAGATAAAGAGGGAAAGCATCCTAGGTATAGAGGACAGCTTGTACAAAGGCACAGAGTTGGGAATCTCAAGTTTAAGCAATAGCGATTAAGTTGATTTGGGGATGAAATGTAGAGTATATGAGAGGCAGTGATATAAGGTAAGTCTGGAAAGGTAAACTGGAGTCAAATCATGAAGGACTTTAAATGCCAGATTATGGATTTTGCATTTAATTCTACTTGACTAAGAGCCACTGGAGGGGGTGAGAGTGGTGTGACATGGTCACACTTTGTTAACTGTGTTTAGGACTGATTGGAGAGGAGAGAAATTGGAAGGAGGGAGACGATTTTAAAAGCTCTTACAAAAGTCCAGGTAAGAGGTGATAAGATCCTGAAAGGGGATGGTGTGCAGGTAATCTCTGTGTGGGTAAATCATCTGTACTTGCCTTGCTAAAACCTCAGCAGCTATAACAAGGAGGCTTAAGGGGGTCTGGTCTTCAAAGTAATAGAGTCCATCTAAAGTACAATAGGAAGAGAACCCATATCCAACAGAGCTTACAGATATCTTTCAGTTCAATTTAATTCAATGAAATCTTCATTAAGACCTATGCTCAGATGAGCATGGTGCTATATACAAAGAGCTAAGACAAACATCCTGCCCTTAAGAACCTTACAATGTACTAAAGGGATAAGAAACCAGCACAACTATAATTAATAATATTATATGTAAAAGTGCAAAACAAAGCACCATATAAAGTTCAAGGGAGGTTGTTATATACATGTGAATAGTGGAAGGAATTTCACAGAGGAATTGACATTTGAAGTGGATTTTGAGGGATGGCTAAAATTTCAACTGTTGGATACAATAACTGACATTTGTATAGTGCTTTAAAATTTGCAAAGTGTTTTACAGACATTCTTTCATTTGAATCTCACACCAACCCTATGAGGTAGGTAATGTGGGTATTATTATAATCTCCTTCTCACAGAGGAGGAAAGAAAGACTCAGAGATTTCCCCAGAATCACATAGCTAGTAAACAATTGATCAGTCATCAAATATTTGTGAAGCATCTACTATGTGCAAGACTCTGAGATAGGCAAGGAGGACAGAAAAGCAAAATGAAATAATCTCTGCCTTTGGGGAGTTTACATCCTACCATTAACATCCCAAAGGACATTAAAGATGAGTAAATAGAAGTAAATACAACATAGTTTTGAGTAGAAGTACAGACTACTGGGGAGATCTAGAAAGGACTCTTGTAGGAGATGGCACCTAAGTTGATCCTTGAGAAGAGCTAAGGAGTCCAAGAGGCAAAGGGGAGACCTGAATGCATTCTATGGTCAAGGACAACCTTTGCAAAGGCATTGAGGCAGAAGTTAGGGCTTCACTACCAGAGTACAAGTACAACTACAATTTGACTAGAGCATAGTATGTGAAGGGAAGTAATGTAAAATAAACCTGGATAGGCAGGATGAAGCCAAAAGGTGACAGGTTTAAATGACATTCTAAGAATATTGTATGTTATTCCAGAAACATTAGGCAAGGTTTCAGTGGGAGAATTACATAGTCAATTTGGTAGCTCTGTGTGAACTGGTCAGAGGACAGAATGGAAGCAGGGAGATCAATCAGGAGCTTATAGCAGTGGTCCAGGTGAAAAGTCATGAGGGCTAGTACTGGTATAGTGCCTATTTGAGTGGAGAGAAGAGCAAGAATTAGAAAGATGTTGTGGAGATATAATATCCAAGACTTAGATACTAATCTTATATGGGTGAAGAGGGAGAGGGGAAAATTCAGAATAACTCCAAGGTTTTCAATATGAGTGACTAGAACATTCCTAATGCTCTCAATAGACATAGGGAACTTTGTGAGAGGATTAGGTTTAGGGGAAGGAAAATAAATTTTTGAACTTGTTGACTTTAAGTTTTAAGTTACCCAAGTGAAGATGTGAAATAGGCAACTGGGGACATAGGAGAGAGATGGCAGCTGGATAAATGGTTTGGAGAGCCATTTGTATAAAGATGATAATTGAACCAGTAGAAGTTCTTGAGATCACCAAGCAGAGAGTATATACAGAGAAGAGAAGATAGCTCAGGACAGGATACTCATGTCTAATAAGTAGGCAGTAGTTATATAGTGATTATTTGAGGAAGTTTTCTTTTTTAAAATTTTTATTTGGTATTTTATTTTTTCCTCAGTTACATTTAAAAACAATTTTAACATTCATTTTTAAAACTTCAAGTTTCAAATTCTCTCCCTTCCTCCCTCTCCAGCCCCTTCCCCCACATTGAGAAGGCAAGCAATTCAATATGGGTTATAGATGTATAGTCACAAAAAACACTTCCATAATCATCATGTTGTGAAAGACTAATTATATTTCCTTCCATCCTAACCTGCCCCCCATTTATTCTAATCTCTCATTTCACCCTGTCCCTCCTCAAAAGTGTTTGCTTCTGATTACTCCCTCCCCCAATCTGCCCTCCCTTCTATCATCCCCCACTTTATCTTCTCCCCTTCCCCCCTACTCTCTTGTAGGGTAAGACAGATTTCCATACCTAATTGAGTGTCTATGTTGTTCCCTCTTTAAGCCAGTTCTGATGAGAGTAAGGCTCATTCATTCCCTCTTGCTTCCCTCCTCTTCCCCTCCATTGTAAAAGCTTTTTCTTGCCTCTTTTATGTGAGATAACTTACCCCATTCTACCTCTCCCTTTCTCTTTCTCCAAGTACATTCCTCTCTCACCCCTTAATTTTATTTTTAGATATCACCCTTTCATATTCAATTCATACCTGTGCCCTCTGTCCATACATACTCCTTCTAACTACCCTAAAAATAAGAAAAGTCTTATGAGTTGCAAATACCCTCTTTCTAGGTAGGAATGCAGACAGTTTAACTTTAATAAGTCCCTTATGATTTTTCTTTTCTGTTTACCTTTACAGGCTTCTCTTGAGTCTTGTATTTGAAAGTCAAATTTTCTATTTAGCTCTGGTCTTTTCTCAAGAATGCATGAAATTCGTCTATCTCATTGAATATCCATTTTTTCTCTTCATGGATTATACTCAGTTTTGTTGGGTAGGTGATTGTTGGTTTTAATCCTAGCTCCTTTGACCTCCAGAATACTATATTCCAAGCCCTCAGATCCTTTAATACAGAAGCTTCTAAATCTTGTGTTTTCCTGATTGTGGTTCCACAATACTTGAATTGTTTCTCTCTGGCTGCTTGCAATATTTTCTCCTTGACCTGGGAACTCTGGAATTTTGCTATAATATTCCTGGGAGTTTTCATTATGGGTAGCTGGTAAGGAAGTGATTGGTGGATTCTTTCAATTTCTGTTTTTCCCTCTGGTTCTAGAATATCTGGGCAGTTTTCCTTGATAATTTCTTGAAAGATGATGTCTAGGCTCTTTTTTAGATTATGGATTTCAGGTAGTTCAATAATTTTTAAATCATCTCTCCTGGATCCATCTTGTGGGTCAGTTTTTTTTTTCCCAAAGATGTATTTAACATTGTCTTCCAATTTTTCATTCTTTTGGTTTTGTTTTTTGAATTTCTTGATTTATCATTAGCTTCCATTTCCTCCATTCTAATTTTTAAGGAATTCTTTTCTTTAGTAAGCTTTTTTACTTCCTTTTCCATTTGGCCAATTTTGCTTTTTAAGGCATTCTTCTCCTCATTGGCTTCTTGGACCTTTTTTTTGCCATTTGGCCTCTATTTTTTAAGGTGCTATTTTCTACAGTATTTTTTGTGTCTCTTTTACCAAGCTGTTGACTCATTTTTCATGATTTTCTTGCATCACTCTCATTTTTCTTCCCATTTTTTCCTCTACTTCTACTTGATTTTCAAAATCCTTTTTGAGCTCTTCCATGACCTCAGACCAATTCATATTTTTCTTGGAGGCTTTGGATGTAGGAACTTTGACTTTGTTGTCTTCTTCTGAGTCTATGTTTTGATCTTCCTTGTCACCAAAGTAAGTTTCTATAGTCAGAAGATTTTTCTGTTGTTTGCTCATTTTCCCAGCCAATTACTTGACTTTTTAACTCTTTCTTAAGGTAAGGTTCTGCTTCCAGTGTGCAGGGTGAACTCTTCCAAGCTTCAGAGGTTGTATGCAGCTGTTTTCAGAGATACTTCAAGGGATCTGTAAGTTTTCAGTTATTCCAAGGTGGTATGATCTAAGGAGGGGTGTTTGCTCCTCTCCTGACCTGTGCTCTGGTCTGTGAGTGACCACAGTCTTTTCTGCCCTGGAACTGTGAGGAGGGTCTCCTCTCCACTGCTGCCACAAGCTCTGCTATGCTAGCTCTCCACCTTGCCCGAGGACTGTGACCCAGATCCAAGAATGGGCAAAGCAACAGAATCCTGCTTCAGTGCTAGCAAAGAGACACCTGTAATCTCCTTCTGACCAGTTGTTCAATCTCCTCACTATCTGGGCTGAGAACTCCAGAAGCACTGCCACTGCTGATTCAGTCACTCCCAAGGGCTGTTCTTTGTTTGCTAGGACCAGGGCTGTGCTGGGACCAGGGCTGTTCTGGGGCCAGGGCTGGACTGTGCTCACTTCTCACCCAGGTATGACAGTCCTTTCCTACTGACCTTCTAAGTTGTCTTCAGCATTTGTGATCTGAGAAGTCTGGAAACTGCCACTGCTGCCAGTGATTTAGTCCCCTGAGACCTGTTCCAGGTTTGCTGGGGCCCAGTCTGTGCTGGTATGGCCTGCGCTGGACTATGCTCCTCTCTCAGCTTGGTGCAACAGACCTTTCCTGTCAATCTTCCAGGTTGTCTTAGGCTGAAAATTTGTTTCACTCTGTCTTTTTGTGGGTTCTACTTCTCTGGAATTTATTTAGAGTCATTTTTTAAAGATATTTGGAAAGGTTTGGGGGAAAGCTCAGGCAAGTCCTTGCCTTTACTCTGCCATCTTGGCTCCACCCCTGTTATACAGTGATTTAAAGTTTACAAAGCATTTCACATGTTAACTTATTTGATACTCAGAACTCTGTGAAGAAGATGCTATTATTATAGTATCCATTTTAGAGATGAGAAAATTGAAACAGAGGGGTGTAATGACTTGCCTAAAGTCACATAGCTAGCATATTTCTGAGGCAGGACTCAAACTGAGGTCTTTCTGACTCCAAATCCCATGCTTTATCCACTGTGCTACCTAGTTGCTGGGTGAGGGGGAAAGGTGGTGGTGGCAAAAAGGAGCAATGGGGTTAAGCATGGATGGTGACCATGTAAAGGCTACTGAGAAGAACCAATAAAATTTAGGAAAAGATCCAGAAAGAAGTGTCCCCAAAACCAATATCTAAGTCACAGGAGTAGGGAACCTGTGACCTTGAGGTCACATGTGGCCCTGTAGGTCTTCAGATGGGGCCCTTCAACTAAATCCAAACTCCACAGAACAAATCCCCTTAATAAAAGGATTTGCTCTGTAAAACTCAGACTCAGTCAAAAGGCCTCACATAAAGAGCTGGAAGGCCACATGTGGCCTTGAGGGTACAGGCTCCTCTCCTCTGTGACCCAGAACCTCAGGCCTGCAACCTAAGAGTCATCAGGGACTCCTCATTCTCTTTCACCTCTTCATGTCTAATTGTTTCCAAGGCCTATTGATTTCTTGAATATCTTGACTACATCCTCTTCTTTCCTCTGACACTGCTACCACTCATCACTTCTTCCTGGATTTTTGCAATAGCCTGCTGGGGGTCTGTCTGCTTCAAGTCTTTCCCCACTCCAATCCATCTTCCATTTGCCACTAAAGTGATTTTCTTAAAATGTAGGTCTGACCATGTCATGCCCCTCCCCCACTCCTAATTAAGAAATTCCAGTGGCTTCCCATTGCCTCCAGGATAAAATATAAAATGCTCTGCCTGTCATTCAAAGGCCTTCACATCCTAGCCTCCTCCTACCTTTCCAGTCTTCTTATTCCTTTCCCCCCACGTATTTAAGAAAATGCATTACCATTTACTTTACCAACATTCTCCAAGGACCATGGGGCCTTTCTACTTGCCTACAGGTGAAATTTCACATACATTTTGTCCTCCTCCTAGAACATGAAGTTAATGACAGGAAGAATTGCCTTGCTTTTCTATTTGTATTCACAAAGTTTAGCATGGTGCTTTACACATAGTAAACACTCAAAAAACACTATTTTTCCTTCTTTCCTACATTCTCCCCATAACTTTCAATCTCTTCCCCCCTCTGATCCACGCTCTTCATGGCTGACAAAATGATATTCCTAAAAAATGGGCCTGTCACTTCCCTGCTTAATAAGGTCCAGTGATTCCTTATTGCCTCTAGGCTCCAAATACAAACTCTTCTGTTTGGCATTTAAAACCCCTCACAATATGATTCCAGCCTATCTTTCTAACTTTATTATGTATTAACCTCTTTCATGAACACTATATTTAAGCCAAACTGTTCCTCTTGCTTTTCTTCTGGCAAGACACTCTGTCTCTGATCTATACCTTTGTATAATCGGTCCTTTGCCTGGAATGCCCTCCCCCCCTTGTCTGTACCTCTTAGAATCCCTTTTCTCTTTCTATGCTTAACAGAAATGTGATCTCATACATGAAGTCTTTCCTAATTCCTCCAGCTAATAGTAGTCCATAAATTATTCTCTATTTGTCTTCTAGATATTCTAAAATGTGCATATACTGTTTCTTCAGATAGGGTATAAGCTCCTTGAAAACAGAGGCTATTTCATTTTTATCTACATTACCCTACCACAAGGTGCAGTGCCTGGCACAGAGTAGGTGCTTAATAAATGCTTGTTGATTGATTGATTGATCAATTGGGTCAAGAATATGAAAGGAGAGGAGTGAAGTCAAAGAAGAGGTAGTGTACTGGAAAGGGGCAGAGCAATTGGGGGCCACAAGGAGGATGAAGAATAGGTTGAAGAATGAGGCAGAAGAAGAGATGGAAAGATAAGACTCTATGGTCTAAGAGAGGAATAACAAAGTCCTTGAATCATGGAAGTCAAATATTTATGGGCAGTAGGGAGATAAGTGGTATAATCATTCCTGTATGACTGAGGGAGAGGCAGTGTGCTCTGCTGGGAGTCAATTGTTAAATTTTCAATATGAGCCTCAGAAATCAGCATTAGCAAAAAATGAGGGCATACTCTATTGTTTTGTTGATTGTCTGGAGGTATCAGACATGCAGAGTGAAGGTAGGAACCAGATTAGATAATGAAATAGTGGTAATTTTTGGTTTTCTAAGTTAATATGCTGCCTGCCTGGATCCTTATGCATTTTCTGAATGAGTTTGACACCACTGATCTAGATAAAGGAACAAGTTAATTATATACATTAAATTTAAAAGTACATTGTAGGTGCATTTTTTTCAGGGAGCCAGTTGTTAATTGTCTACCAGAACGCCCTTGAGTAAAGATCTAGATTAAGAAAGTGAAGATTAAAAAATTGAAAGACCAGGATGCTTGAGTGGAAATAAAAACGGATTTTGAAGCTCCCAAGTATAGGGACACTGATTAGGGTGGAGACAGTGCTAAACTCCTTGATAAAAAAGGGGGAATTAAATGGTAGCCAGTAGATAGAGCCAGAATCTGGCCAAGAAATATATCACCTGGGCAGTTAGATCGTACAGTGGATAGAGAGCTGGTCTCAGAGTCAAGAAGACTCATCTTCCTGAGTTCAGATCTGGTCTCAAACACTTACTAGTTCTGTGACCCCAGGAAAGTCACTTAACCCTGTTTCTCTCAGTTCCTCATTTGTAAAATGAGCTGGAGAAGGAAATGGCAAACTGTTCCACTATCTTTGCCAAGAAAACCCAAATGGGTTCATGAAGAATTAGACACAACTGAACAACAAAAATGACCTATGTACAAGCTATGTTCTGAGATTTCCCAAGTACATTCTAAGTTGAAGCATAATTACAGAAAGACAGCAAGTGATTTTTAGAGGAGCCCCAGAAGTGAAACCAGTTCATCTGAGCTAAGAACATATGGTACTACAACATTGATTATATTATGCATTTGTTTTGTAGACAAATTTTTCACTTACTCTTCTGTATACATATTTATTAAGCATGATGTTAGCTCCTTGAGGGCAGGGGCTGTTCTGTTTTGGTTTTGGTTTTGGTTTTTTTTTTGCTTTGTATACATAGTAACTAACTCAATGCCAGGAGGTAGTATAACCATGGTTCAAATTAATGGAAGAACAGAAGGTACACTCTTACATGACAGGATGGCCAATAGCATAGTCTTCTAGAGGGACACCAAGAATATTGGAATGTGTGAGGAAGAGACTATGAAAGATAGTTTGTTAACAATAGACTGAAGCTTTCAGAGAGTAGAGTGGAAGGAAAGAACAGAAGGAGCTGGGACTTGGGAAGGACAAAATCAAGGTGGATGGAGATGAAGGAGCAGGTAATGGTAGCAAAGGAAGGGCATTTTAACCTGTTGGGCCTTTGGCTATATACCCTCAGGTATTTTGAAGGAGGAGAGAGTTCTATTGTCATAGGAAAGTACAGTGTCAAACCTTTCCAAATAAGTAGCAATACAGGCTTAGGTGTTCATTTGTTTTGGTCAAGGTAGCAGGGAGGGAAGGTCCCAATGACTCCGTGGGAAGCAGCCTGATATTGCCTAGGTAAGGATGGAGACAGAATTTGGACCCATATGTACCATGCTGGCTTTCAAGAAATGGGGAGAGGAAATTCTAGGAATGGATATCAAAGAGAAATGGGAAAGACAGTACAGAGTTAGGAGGAGATGAAAGGAAAACAAAGTTCAACAGTGTGAACAAAATCACAAAAGTGAATGAGTTTTATTCATCAGGCAATGGGGAGCCAAAGAAGATTTTTGAGCAAAGGAGTTATACAATTAAATCTTTGCATAAAGATTCTGAGTCTATCATCCAGACTTCCAGGAGAATAAAACCACAATCTCTCTTAAAGGCCATACTCCCAATATGTTTGGAAATGATTTTTCTTGGACGCAGAGGGGAGGTCTGGCTCTGGGAGGAAGCCAGGATTCGGCTGAGTATGCTCACCTTCTGAGTCTGTCCAGTGAGGAATCTGATCAAAACAAAATCATACTTGACCAGGAAGTCTCCTCACCACTCTTTGCCACTCCCCCTTTCAGGTGCTTTAGTCACTTTTGATCCTCGCTGGTATACTCTTCTGTCTGTCTTGGAAATGGTGATCGTCATCATTCTGACTGGCATGGGATTTTACCTGTGGCACAAGAAAAAACAAGGTAGGATTTTCTTGGAGGCAACACAAAGAAACACACCTTCTTCTCCAGGTTTGAATTCTGATTTCCTTGAGGTCTTAATATAGAGGAGAGAGAGGGAGAGGAGTCTTAAGGACATCTCCTCACCCATTTCCCCATCCCTTTCATTCCCTAACATTTATATATTATGATATGCATTATGATATGCAAAATTACATTTTATAATTTCCAGAGACCTTTTACATGCGTTATCATAAAGCTGAAAGGACCTTACTAATCACCAAGTCAAAGAATCTGAATCTCTGAGTTGGAAGGGACTGCAGAAGAGGGAGCCAACCTATACCTGAATTTAAAATGCCAGTTATAACTTACCTACCCTGTGGTCATCCAGCCTCTGCTTGAAGACTTCCAGAGAGATAGAGCCCATGATTTCTAGAGGCAGATCATTTCACTTTTGAATTCTTATTATTAGCAAGTTTTTCTTTTTCTTACAAGGAGATTAAATCTGCTTCTGTGCAATTTCTACCCATTCATTGCTATCAGTTCTGCCCTCTAGAGCCAGAGTAGATCTAATCCCTCTTATGCATGAAAGCCCTTAAAATAATTTAGGACAGCTGCCATATTCCTCCAAAGATTTCTATTTTCTGGGCTAAACAATCTCCATTCTTTCAATCAGTATTCATATGACATGATCTTGAAACCCTTCATCATCCTGATTTCCCTCTATGCCCACCCCAACCCCAGACATTCTTTAGCCAATTAATCTACTTCCTAAAAATGAGATGCCCAGACTGAACACAGAAATACAGATTTGGCCTGATTAAGGCAGGGTATAAATATATCATTTATATAACATTCTATATAACATAGATGTATATGTACACATATACATCTAAATGTAATACAGATACTATATATGTTGATACAATATATACATGTATATATGAGTGTTAACATGTATATATACATTGGACAGGGTACACATACATACAAATACACATATATTGACATAGCTGTACTGTATGTCAGACTATGCCAAGATTTCTTCTACTGTATCACAAATTCTATGAAGTGAAATAGTCACTTCTCCCCAAAGTTCCCATAATTTCTGTTTCAGTAATAAATTCCTCCTTGTTAATGAGAACCAGGTGCAAAATAGAAGTTCCTCATTATTTGTCCCCTTCCCCTTTTGAAGGATGAAATGATCATTAAGGTAAGCCAAAAGATTATTAACTGCTATGCTTTGGGAAGAAAAAAAGAGATCTAGGAGGCATCTAATAATTCATGTTCTTGCTTCCATACCAAATCTGAGGTGTTCCTAAAATTATCCATCTCCTCTTTCTATCCAGGTCATCTGTAGGATACTTCAATTGCTATACTGATTTTGCTTCTACCTACAGTAATCTTTACCAAATGTTCTATTTCCCATTCTAGTTTCTAAATTTCTTCACATGATTAAATCTTTGCTAAAAGCACTGCTACTCTGTCCTTCCTATCACCACATTATCTAGTCTGTTCTTTTTTAAAAAAATAAGTTGCACCATTTTCTGGTCTTGGTCCCATTCCACCAATATGAGCATTAGCAATGTAATAGATATATACAGAGAGGATTGGAACCAAGACCTCCTTCCCCAGCCTTCACAGACCTCAGGATGGAATTCATTGGAAATCATGTGCGGGAAGCACATGGGCCAACAACCACGTGGAATGGAAACATCTTGGGATGCTAGGCAAAATAAGTGAGGCACCAAGCAGCACTGCAAAGAGCTAAACTGAGAAATACAGGCTCAGTCTCGAGAAAGCTGTCCACAGATGGGCCAGGGCTCCCCTGAAAATCATGGATCAGTGAGCTGTTACCAAATTCTTGATCCCCACATAGATCCATAAAAAGCTGAATAGAGACCACAGCAGATAAACCCCAGAGGGATGGAGATGAGAAATAAAGCAGAACTTTAAAATTCCTGTGAATTTCATATGCTATCAGACTAGTTTATTGTGTTGGTAATTTTTGTGGACCTTCGATTTTGTCTTAAGGAATGTATCTTTGGAGTGGGAGAGGAAAGAAAAGACATATTGGGAAGTGGAGGAAATATGAAAACAAAATACAGTAATTTTATAAAAACTAGTACTATCCTAATATGGAATGAGCTACCTCAGGACGTAGTGAATCTTCCTCAACAGAGGTCTACAAGAAAAGGCTGGACAAACACTTTTCAAGTCAGTTGTGGTGGGGATTTTAATTCAGGGTTGGATGAGTCAGCCTCTGAGATTCCTTCTAAGACTGAGATTCCATGATTTTGTGAGACACACAATACTAATGCACAAAGCAGAGATTTCGTTAATTGGTGTTGTTAATTTTAAGAACGCTAAGTCAAACCTTGAGGGGAGAGAAAGAGAAGTGTTCCTTACTATCTAAATCAATCTTTTCTGAGTTGAATCTCCTTTTAGTCTGTTGCTTTCTGGGGAGCTGAAGGACTTTTGAGAGAAAGGAGGCAGATTTCCAGTGCCCAAGAGAAGCTGAAGATAGGAACCAAACAATTCAAAGATATCAGACAGAAAATTCTCCAAGATTGAATTTAGTCTATAGTGTCAGAGACTAGGACCTATTACACAAGTTATACCCATTAGGTTAAACTTGCAGTATATGCTAATAGTATATGTAGTCTCACATCCATTAAAACAGCTGCCCAGCCTCTCTCGGCACCTGTCAGATGTGGAAAAAAGTGACAAAAAACCATTTTCTAAAAGAAGACAGGCCTCAGGGCAGAGGAGTTCCTGAAAACCTGAGCATCCTCTTCAGGAAGAATAAGGAGCCTCAGGGACAGCACTAGTCCCAACACAAGCAGGGCAAAATCTCTTCTGTGGATCTTCAAATCTCAACTTGAGAGGGATGGGGCTAGACTGTCAAGCTGAATTAGGCATCAACAGTGACAGTGTGGGGAAAGAAGTATGGGATAGTGAAAAGAGCACTGGACAAAGAAAACAAACATTTATTAAGCATTTACTATATGCCAAGCACTGTGATAAGCCTTTTACCAATCTCATTTAATCTTCACAACTCTGGAATGTAGATTCAATTATTGTTTCCATTTACAGTAGAGGAAACTGAAGCAGACACTGGTTAAGGGACTTGTCCAGGGTCACGCTGGTATCTAAGGTAGATATCTGTGGACAGATTTGAACTCAAGTATTCTGATGCCAAGTTCAACAGCCACTGTACCACCTACCTGCTTCTGGACAAAAACTAGGAGTCTAGAGACCTGCCACTAATTAGCTGTATGACTTTGGCAAATTATTCCCCCTTTTGGAGCCATAACTTTCTGATCAGTAATGTAGAAGGGCACTGTACTAAATTATTTCTGAAGTTGTTACCAGGCTCTTACATTCCCTGATTATATGAACTTGATGTATTCCAGAAGTTGTCTCACCATGAGGAGCAAGGAGCGGTCCTTCTTTTCAGGGGACTTGGATCAGGAAGATGTGAGATTCTGAGCATGGATCAGCTCCATGATATCCTAGAATGAGAACTGGGCTAAAAATTAATGAACTTACATTCTAATTCTGGTCTTGTGAAAAGAACGTTGGATACAAAATTACTACTATGGGATTAGCATCTATGATCTCTATTGTCCCACCCCAGATGCTATTGAAAAAAAGAAGAAAATAGAAACCCGAAAGTGAGTTTTAAAAATGAATAAAAGCCTCAAGACCTTAAAATGGAGATGGAAGCACTATGTGTTCACAGACTTCAAATTACCCTTTGGTACATCTGTTTCATTCATTGTTACTGCCCTGGTGAATGCAGAAGTGGAGTGATGGTGGGGAGACTATCTGATTTTAGCAAAGTAAATCCTTTTTGTTGTAAATAAGGTTCATTTTAGTTAATTTTCTGGTCTGCAAATATCTCATTGTGTTCCAATCTCAAACCTGAATTATTGGATTGTGCCACAAGGCCTGGGCCAGAATATTTCACATTGACCAACAGGTTTGCATCTCAATAATCTTCTTGTTCTCAAAGTTGAATTGGGGGAAAGTTAACAGTGAAAAGCAGGATCCTTGGGTCATGAGATGATCATATACAGAACTATGGTATTCTTTGGCCTTTTATATTTTAGCTTCACATAAGGAGCCATCTCAAGAGACCAGAAAGGCCCCATCACTATTCCTGTAGGGATAGATAAATAAGCATTTAAAGGATTTGACAAGGGTAAAACAACAGTGAATATGTAGCATTTATATAACACTATAAGGTTTTTTTAAATCACTTTACAAAATCTAGTATTCTTTACTTGGTTCTTACAGACAATTTTAGAAAAGCTGAATCATAAGGAAACAAAATAAATTGTCTTTTCCATGTGCAACAAAGATCAATATGAAAACACTTAGGCATTTAAGTACTGTACCTTGAAGGTAGAGGGACAGATAATGGACTTAGTAACAATTCAAGTGAAAAGTGTAATGCTGTTGGGGTTGAGGATCAATAGATTCCATGTGGAAAACATGGCCTCTGACACAGAGGTCTGTCTGGAGAATGTATTATCTCTCACTGATATTAGGGCTGTAGAGAAATGAAGTGACAGCCAGAATGAGGATGAAAAATAGGAAACAACACTAGCAGTAAGAAAGCCTTGGTCTTATCCTATTACTAACCCTCAGAATGAGATTTCTTTCAAAAAAGGGCCAGAACCTAGATGGTCATCACCAACGAACTTCTGAAGTAGCAATAGTTTAAATAGAAAACTAATGAGTTGTTAGAACAATAGTTAATGGTGATCTACGCTAATGGGGGCAACTCAGAACTTCTATCTGCAGCCTTCCACCAACTTGGGGAACTCACAGAAGATTCACCTTCATGAAGGTAAATGAGTTTGAGGTTCTGGCTGGGGATTGTTTGTCTCTTTTTTGGTTGCTAGGATGGGGAATCCTGACGACCTGGCCACATAAAATGAATTCATAACATTACATCTTATTTAAAACCAGAAAAAGGCTTAGACACCATTAAGTCTGTCTCTACTCATTTTGCAGGTGAGGAAATTGAGCAACAGAGAGGATAATTGACTTACCCAGAGTAGACAGCTAATAAATATAAGAGGTAGAACTTTAATCCAGGTCTTGACTCCAAGTTGAGTGCCTTAATCATGCAACTACATCACATCTAATTGCTCCTAGAGTCTGTTCCCCAATAGGGGCCAGTGAAGGAATGGAAGAAATATATTAAGTAGGATAGTTTGGTGAATTTGATTTATGCTACCTTAGTGTCCTTTGACTCCCTATGACCAACCTTTTTCAGGATCTCACTTTTTGTTCAGAACCCCACTTATGTGGTGACAGGCTTTCATTTTGGTCCTCACCTGCCACTGCCACATAGGGCTGGGAAGACATTTGATAATCTGAGCAGGAGATTGAGACAACCTCAATGTGTGTCTAGGAAAATATTAAGTATTGTGAACAGGTTATGACTTTACTTGAAGCTGAGACTTCCAGTCCCAACTCCAGTGCTTTGGACTCCCTAAAAACAAGACTAAGTAAGAAGTCTGTTTTTAAGGATATCACAAAAGATTATTCAAACCATAAATTGAAAATATAAAGAAACTACAAATGTAACACCTCCAGAATGACAGAGCCCTAAATGTTAAAGAATTTCTATATTAAAAAATATATATTGCCAACATAGAGGAAGAAAGAGACCAAGACCAACAAGAATCTCACAAGTTTTAGTAGCAACTACCATAAACAAAAGGAAATATTGGAATATGAAATAACAAAAGGCAAAACAAAAAAATAACTTACCCAATAAAACTGAGTATACTCCTACAGGGCTGGTGGTGGATAGGCTTTTTATAGAAGAGATGAGTTTAAAGAATTCCTTGGATATCTGAGAAATAACCAAAGCTGGGTAAAATCTTTGAAATGCTAGCACAAGAAACAAAAGACACCTAGAAAGACAAGTATATTTGAGCTTCTTCAAGGGAGAAATGATTACCAAGTACTTATAAGAAGGGGAAAAGTTCTCTCCTTACAATCCCACTTTCTTCAAGCATCAAAGAGGAGAAAAGAGATAAACTCAGAACTTAGGTATGGTTTTGTGTTGTAGTTTTAAGAGAGCAAATAAAGGAGAAGAAAGGGGAATATATTGTAGAACAAATGAGAAAAAAGGGAGAAACTATTTCTAATAATGGAGGCACATCAGGAAAATGTATACAGATATGGGAGTAGGAGAAACATCACATGAATCTGACTCCCATCTGAACCTTACAAAGGAAGGTTGACATGTAAGTACATTAAAAGAGGAGGGAGGGAGAGAGAGAAGGAGAGAGACAGAGAAAGTGAGGGGAGGAGGGTTTAGAGTATAAATACAGTAAAGTAAAAAGGGAAATATGCAGGGACAGGCAAAGGAAGGAACAGGGAGACCTTTCTATGACCTTCTGTATGATAATCATTTTCATTTTTTTTAGAGATTGTTGTGTTCCATGCCTTAGAGCAGCTTGACACCAGTAGGATATTAGTATTAGAAAGATGAGCCTTTGTTCCTGGAGAAAATTGGGGATATTAAAAGAACTTTGTAATTTTTTGAAGACACTCCAGCCTTCTTTCCTCCTCTTGTTTAATTCTAAGCCCATCTCATTGTCCATTTGTACTGATTGTCCTAAATATACATATACATATATGTAGGTATGTATGTATATTGATGGATAAGCACTATTATCCACCCAAATATACACAATAATTTGGACAACATTCATTCCTTAGCCATTTGCTTTCCCTTGAGTGGATGGTTAACCCAAACTCTTTTGAGTGCTTACAGATCGCTTCCAAGAGGCTCTTCAGTGATCCAAGTATTGAAGCAACAAGCACAATTTCATCAGCAAACAAGAGTGTCTGGGAGACCTCATTATTCATGGTAATAGTAATCCTAACAACAACAATAACAATAATTAACATTTATATAGTGCTTTAAGTTTTGCAAACACATTGTATATGTTATTTCATTTCATCCCCACAACAAATCTGTAAGGTGAACATTAATATTATCCCCATTTTACTCAATAAGAAACTGAGGCTGAGAGGGCCTAAGTTGACTTACCCAGGGTTACACAGCTAGTAAGTATCTATGGTAGAACTCAAGCTCTGACTCCAAGTCCAATTTTCTATCCTTATACTTCATAATAGGCATATTTCCCATTAGTCATGATGTAAAGAAGAATTAGAACTGATGAGAGGAGCCATGAAAATGAAGCAGTAAAATAAAACAACAAAAGAAAAGGAGAGCAAATAGTATGCTTCCATATGCATTCAGACTCCATAGTTCTTTCTCTGGATATGATTGCATTTTCCATCAGGAGTCTTTTGGAGTTGTCTTAGATCCTGGCATTACTGAGAAGAGCCAAGTCTGTCAAAGTCAGTCATCACACATTGTGGCTATTACTGTGTATAATGTTCTCCTGATTCTGCTCATTTCACTCAGCATCAGTTCATAAAGGTCTTTTCAGGTTTTTGCCTGCTCAACAATAACAACAACAAAAAAAAATTGTTAAGAGCACTCAGACTTACTTTGCTTAATTGGCTCTTTCCAAGTTTTCTTTAAAGTGATTTTATCTTCTATTGCTGCTCTCTGATTTATTGGGTGATGCTACTCATAATCTTCCATTATATTTCTTGTTAAGATTTTACAAAGAAATTTATAATTTGAACTATTATTGCATTAGGCTTCAATTTCTATCAAGTTGACATAGGTCAAGTATTTGGCATCTAGCATAGTGCTTAGCACGTAGTAGATGCTTAATAAATGTTTATTGATTGTTTAATTGTTGACCAGGGAGCTTTTTAGGGTATTTTGGCCTTCTTGTTATGACAATTTAGATTGGTTAAGCCTCCTTCGTGTTACTTCATATAACTTTTTACTGATTTCATGAGGTATATTTCGTATATTTTATATACCTATTTACATTTCTCATTAATTAAATTGTATGATATTGGACATCATTAATAATGGTGAACTTGAGGGATTTAGAAAAATGCAAAGTTACGAAAACAAAGGATATAGAGTCAGAAGAATAGCATATACAATTATTATTACTAAATAAAAAGAATACTTCTATGTAACCTTTGACACATCACTTCACTCCTGTGAGCCTCTGTTCCTCATCTACAAAATGATGATGTCAGACTATATAGTCTCTAAAGTCCTTTCCAGCTCTAAACCAATGGCATTCCATTCAGGAGAAATTAGACATTGTCTATGGCTCCAAGGAACAGAACTAATATCGATAAGTGGATGTTATAAGTAGTCAGCATTCAGATCAATTTTTAAAAAAAGGACACTTTTGCCACTCTGTGCAAAAAAATGAACAAGTTGCCTTAATAGGTAGCGTGTTCCTCATTTCTAATGGTATTCATGAAGAGATACGATGACCACTTATCTGAGATATTATGGAAAGGAAATAAGCAGCAATCTAGGGACTAGAATATGGACTGGATCTGGAGTTAGCGAATGTTGATTCAAATCCCTGGGCAGTTACTAGCTCTGTGACCTTGAAAAATTCACTTCACCAATCTTGGCCTATTCCTTCATCCATTTCGCCCCTTTCCCCTTTAAATCCTATGTTCATAGCAGCTCTTTTACTGTCTCTATAGTTCTAGAGCAATGCCTCTATTGGTGAAACTTACCACAGTGTAACGTCATGGCACTTTTAAAAAAAGAAGGAAGGGAAACAGAGAAACTGCAACTCATTTATCACTGACACTGTTGCCTCCCAAGGATTAAGAGCTGAAAGAACATGGCCCAACCCCACCTCTGGTTCTTGGTCCTCTTTCTGTTCATGGGTAAGTTCTGGCTGTTGCCAATCCTTCTCTATTGTCCACCTGTCAGCCATCTGCTTGGGCAGGAACAATGCTGAGACCTTCTGGGTGGTTTAGGACTGAGATGGTAGTTTCCTTTCAGTTTGTGCTTTTAAATGATAATGCTAACCCTATGGTTTCTGTCTGTGCCAAAATTCTAAGGAACTGAACTGGCCAAAAATTTGGCCACAAGAAGAGAATGCAAACATCAAACCAGGCCAGCCTGATGCCTTCTCCTACTTTGAAGAGGATAGTCTGAAATTCATTTGTATTTAGAATTCACTTGGCCTCAGTGGGTCTCAGATTCCTCACCTATTAATGGAAAGGGATGGATTTAGGATTCCTTCCAGCTGTAATCTTCTATGAATCTCTAATTCTAGGAAACAGTCCTTATACATTCTCATTTGATCCTTACAATAGCCCTATGAAGGAGGCAAAACACATTTTTTACACATTTTTAAAAAATAACAGGGGCTCCCAGGGATTAAATAACTTCCTTATAAATCACAAAGCTAGTAAATAACAGGACCAGAACCCAAACAAAAGCATCAGAGGCTCTCCATATATTTCACAGAGTAGGTATATAGTAAACGTCTGTTGTTTTGAATTGAACTGAAAATTTAGTTGTCCAGTCTGGTTTCACTATACTATGCTTCCTCTCTATCCTAAACTACACTAAAAAGCTGTCATACATTCTTAAACCAGTGAGATGAGACTATATGATACACTAGAAAGAATGCTGGATTTGGAGTCAGAGAACGTAGACTCAAATCTTGTTCTGCCACTTATGATGCGTCCTTGGGAAAGTCCTTTCACTTATCTGGGCTTCAGTTTCTTCATCTTCAAAATGAAGAATGTACTCTAAGACTTCTAAGTTCCCTTCTAACTTTAAATCCTTAGCCTATGAGAAATGAGTTTAGGATGATCCAGTTTATTGTTAGATACACAATTGTCAATCTATTCTAAAATGGATAATGGAGAACTGAGTGTAATTTTTGAAATGTAGTCAATAATAACAAAAACCCCACAATTTATTTGTCCAATTATTTAAGCTTTACATGCATAACACAAGTAGAGGCTTAGAGAAATGAAGAGACATTCCCTAGGTCATAACACTAGTAAGCAGCAAAGCCACCATAAATCCAGGACAATGGCTTTCTCTCTATATAATTATTGTGATCAACATTCTCATCATCATTCTCATCACTAAGCATTATTGAGCACATGGCACTGTTTTGGGTATTGTACAAAGAAAATGGTAAAGGGTAAGTCCCTGGCCCCAGTTGCTTAAAACCAACTAGAAAGAAGAGAGACTGCCAGGACTGTGTTGGACAGCAGAGAGATGTCATTGTGACTGTGAAAGACTCATAATATAGATGGTTCATATTTGAGGTGACTGATGGTGTTTTCAAATTTTGATCTTCAGAATCTATTAGAAACTCTAGCAATGTACTGGAACAAACTAGGTCAGAAACAATAGGATTTCCTTAAAATGTAGAACCAGCGCACCTAGAGTTCATTAATCCATCTGGGGATTCAAATCATACCCCCATTTATAATAAATCTCTTCTCTCTAGGGAAAACTCAACCAGTCAAAAACATGGAACATAAACCCCATGACCCCATGGGATGGTCCAGGCTGAAAATGTATAAAGGTGCAGCAAAGAATTAGGTTGAGCTGTGGATAGCTCTTTGCCAGCTCCTAGTTCCCCTCTGATTCCTTAAACTTGGGTGTGCCCACTTGGCTTTGCCTCAGGTACTTTTCTCTCCGTATTCTCTCTCTTAAATGATCTCGTCCACCCCATGAGTTCTACTATCACCTCCATGCACATGACTTTCAATTCTTTATCTATAGCCACCAACATCTCCCCAAAGCTCTAGTCACATATTTCTAAGTGCCTGTTGTATACTTAAGCTGATTATGCTAAACTCAGCTGAACTTGTTCACTTCCCTTCTTTCCACCCAAAGGGGGATAAAAACTTACCTTTTTCTTAACTTCTCTATTTTAGTTATTTTCACAACTATATTCTCAGTTGCTTAATCTCATAACCACAGAATCATCTTTAACTCTTCCCTTTCCCCCAACCCCCTCAACTAACCAATCCTGAAGTCCTGTCAATTCTGTCTCTATGCTGGAAAAAAAAATTTAGGGTTACAATAGAAAATGTGCTAGTCATAGAGCCAGAATTGAAGAATAACCAATGAACAGTCTTTTTGCTTTTTTTTTTTGCTCCCCATTGATCTCTGTGAAAATGTTAAGAGATCTATAGGAAAGCCCTCACCTAGCACATTGTGCCAATCATCTATATGGGATTTAGGAAAGGGAACTGACCAAAGTGACCCAGGATGAGAAGGCAAGAAAGGGTTGCAATATACACCATTGGGGGATGAGATCACAGATGGATCAGAGTATGGAAGTAATATTTTTCCTTTCTTTCCCCTCCTCTTCATTTACATTCCCACTACCTTAGTTCAATCTCTCATCTCTTCTCACCTAGATTATTGGGATAGTTTTCTAATTGCCTTCATGTATCACCCTTTATCCTCTCTAACCCATCCTTTTAACCTCCTCACAAAAAGTGTATAGCAAGAATGATTGTCTTCTCTATAGGCTCTTCATCCTCTTCTCATGGTTCCATTATTGGTTTCCTCCAATATTCCATCATGCTTTCTCTTCTAGTTCATCATATTCTCTCCCTGCTGATCTCATACTCTTCAATGGCTTCAATTATCACCTTCATGAGGATGATTTCCAAGGGTCTATTTTCACTCCAACCTCTCTTCAGAACCCTGTTTATTTTAATTCAACAAGCATTTATTATGATTCTGCATCTCCAAATATCAGCCAGGTATCTCCACGTGGATGACCTACTTGTAATTCATATGCTACTAACATGTCATCTTTCACTGCCCCCCAAACCTATCCCTTTTAACTTCTCTATTTCTGACAATGACCCACCCTTTTCCACTAACTTTGTTGCTGTCCTGTCTCTCTCTGTCTCTCTCTCTGTCTCTGTCTCTGTCTCTGTCTCTCTCTCTCCTCTCCTCTCCCCTCCCTCTCTTTACCTCCCTTTCACTCCACTCTTTCCCTCTTCTCTTTCTCCCTCTCTCCCTCAATTGACGTGATCTTTCTTTTATTTACCATCCCTAGCCTTTTCATTTAATGTCATGGACAGAAACTAGGGAAATATCTCATAGTGCTGTCACCTTCAGAGGTAGTCCCAGGCTGCATAGACCAACAGATATGACCAAGGATTCTATTGAATAATACCTTATATTTGTGTGATGCTTTATGGTTTTCATAAAAATTATTTCATCAATTTTTCACAAATCTGTCAAGGGGGCAGAACGAGGATTATTATAAACTGAGACATTTCCATGTTCACACAGCTAGTAAGTGACAGAGCCATGACTAAGACTCAGAACTTTTCATTACGTTAGCACTCTTGCTCATAAAAAAAAAACACTCATTGTCATATATGTGCTATTTGCTATAAGACATTTGACAGAGTAGGCTCTTTGTCACCCAGTGGTGTCAGGAAAGACCTTTCTCATGATAAAGGCTCTGGGAAGTGGAAAATAGGGGGCTAAGTACAGTGGAAATTTGAGAGAGTGGCTTAGGTGAGTGGGAAACAGGCTTCTGTGAAAGGAAAGGTCAGGGATGAGGTGTTTGCTGCATGACATTTGACATGGTAAGACAGCAGTCATAGACTAGAAAGAACTTTGGGTATTTATTTTAGCTAACTTAGACTACATAATTCTAGAAATTGAAACTAAAACTCATATGGTTTCATAAATTCCATATTTTCAAACCTCCAAAGAACAAGTAATGTCATTTTCAAATAAATTATTCCTGGCTATAGAGAAATATATATTAATATAGTGCTTTGGGTACCTAAAATGTCACGTATCCCATAGAACATCAAGATTCTTGAGATCAAGGACTGTGCTCCATTTTGTCTATGTATGCCAAAAGCAGAACTGTTTCTTGAGTCAGAAAGACCTGAGTTCAAGTGTCACCTCTGACACACGCCAGCTGTGTGACCATGGGCAAGTCACTTAACATCTCAGTGCCCCAGGGAATTGTTCAGACTCTAAGTTCCAAATGAGTTGCTGATCTGCATCAGTGGAAGAAATTTCTATGCTAGGAGTTTCCCTTCTGATGAAATTAGAAATGTGTACTCCCCCTCCCCCCAAAAAAATCCCCAGCACTGAGTACATTATTTTGCATGTAGTCAACATGGAATAAACAAATAACAACTGTTGAATTGTTATTGAATACATAGTAGCTCATTCACCCAACCAAACTCATTACATTCACTGAAGATTTGTTATCTAACCTTAGCTGGATCATCACTGTGGCTTCACTCTTTCTTAGTTATTAGTCTTAGTCCTTAATTCCTCATTTCATCTTTTCTTAAAATGTGATCTGGGAACCCCTGGGGATGCCCAAAACTCTTTTAGTAGGTCTGTAAAGTCAAACTTTATTCATAATAATACATGATAATTTTTGATATGGTAAATATCAATGAACATAACCAACACAAATAAGAGCTTTTGCTGTTCAATAATTTTTAAGAGTATAAAGGTGTCTTGAAACTAAAAAGTATGAGAATCTCTCCTATACTGCCACTGCCCGTTGAGTCTGTTCCAGACTTCATCTCCTCAAACCTTTTACACCTCCACCTTTCTTCACTCTTTCAGTCGAGGAGAAGTTTCAGTTTACTGAGAAGTACTCATTCACTTTGAGTTCCCTCTTCTCCCCTTCTCTTCAATTATAAACCATTTGATATCTTCCCCTTTTCCTCCCTTTCTCCATTTCCTGATTTAAAAAATGAAAACATTGCCCTTCTCCTCGCCAAGACCACCTCCTCTACAAGTGCCCATGATCTCACCCACTCCCATCTTCTCCAGCAGATTGC